TAGTTTCTCATTTACATTCATGGGTGTTGCTGCAGCTTTGCAATTAATCATATTAGATTTTTTTAGTAGATCCATTGTATACTTTCTTTATGAAATAAAAATTTCATCCGATCCTTGCTTCACTTCCAACCTAAGAAAATAGTGCAGTAGACCTATATCTGACATTTCAAACTTATTCACCATGCATTTTTTAAATTCTATTACAAAAGAGTTAGATGAACCCATATATATAATATCATCAATATAGAGGCAAACCATTAGAATATTATGTTCACATTCCTTCTTTAGATAAATAATAGGTTCATTATTGCTCTTCTTAAATCCATTTTAATGAAAATAATAATCAATTTTGTTATATCAAGCTCTTGAAGTTTATTTAAGCCCATAAAAAGCTTTTCTTAGCTTATATACCTTTTCTTCATGTCCTTTAACCAAAAAACTTTCACTAAGCAACAAAAATCTCTTCGTATAAATCTATATTTAAAAACACAGATTTCACATCAAATTGATAAACAAGCCAACTCAAGTGAGCAGCTAAAGCCAAGAAAGTTCTTACGGTTTCGAATCTAGCAACTAGAGAAAAAGTATCATCAAAATCAATACCTTATTACTGTGAATATCCTTTTGCTATAAGCCGAGCCTTATGTTTTTAAATACTTCCATCTGCATTAAACTTTATTTTGAACACCCATTTTAATCCAATAGCTTTCTTTTCTTTTGATAGATCCATTAGTTCCCAAGTTTCATTTCTTCTTAATTGACTTGATTTCCTCCTTAATTGCTTTTCTCCATTCCTCTTTTTCAATTGCTTCCTCAAAAGTTGTTGGATCTGAAATAAACAAAGCAAATGTTGAGTCATAAATTTTTGTTAGTGATCTGAAACTTCTTGGAGGGTTTTCATATGAGGAATCAGAATTTGAACTGCTATTGGGTGAGGTTGACGATAAACTTGTTGGAGCAGGATTTGTCATTTGATTCTACGGAGTGTCTAGTTCTGTTGGAATTTGAATTTGTGTTCCACCTTTATTGGTCTCCCAATTTCAACTTGCCCTTTCATCAAACATAACATTTCTGTTAATAATGACTTTCCACTAGCATAATTATATAATCGATATCCTTTTGATCGTAAGGAATGACCAATTAAGATATATTTTTTAGATTTTTCATCAAGTTTGTGATGATTTTATGAATTCACTAAAGCATAAGTAATACAGCCAAAAAATTTTAAATAGCTTATACTTGGTTTTATACCATACCAAGCTTCAAAAGGAGTTGATTCATAACAGTTTTTATTGGTAAAATATTCAACAAATAAACTGCTGTTGCAATTGCTTCTGCCCAAAACTAATTTGGAAGATGTTTTCCTTTAAGCAAACTTCTTGCCATTTCAATGACAATCTGATTCTTACGGTCAGCTACACCATTTTGCTCTAGTGTATATGGTGCCGTCAATTCTCTATGAATATCATTTTCTTCAAAAAAAAATTAAACTCATTAGATAAAAATTCACCACCTCTATCTATCTACCACTTTGCTTTTCTACAAGTGCCTTGAATTTTTTAAAATTATCAAATGTTTCAGATTTCAGTTTTAGAAAATATACCCAACTCATGCGGCTATAATCATCAGTAAACAATAAAAAATATTGACTTCCACCAAATGATTTTGTATTCATAGGTTCACATAAGTCAGCATAAATTAATTCAAGACAATTAGATGCTCTTCATGCTTTTCCAATAGGAAATGATTTTTTACTTTGTTTGTCATAAATGCATTCTTCACATACATCAAGTGTATTAATCTTGGGTAATCCGAAAACCATTTCTTTTTTTACTTAACAACCTTAAACCCTTAATGTTAAGGTGTCTACGTCTTAAATGTCATAAATTAGACTCATTCTTTTGAGTTGCGACAAGTACATGCCTTTCAATATTTGACACATCAAGTGGAAACATCTTGATTTGCGTCATGCAAACATTTACTATAATCAAACTAGATTTTTTTATCTTTAATAGTGCATGAATCATCATCAAATATTACTGAGTATCCATCATCAATCAATTGTCCAACACTCAACAAGTTATGTGATAAAGTAGGAACAAAGAAAACATTATCAATGTATTTTATCTTTCCTTGATTTGTCTTCACCTTGCTCCTTTCCCTTCCACTTAGATTTGCTTATTATCTCCAAGTCTAACTTTCAACTTATAAGTTTCATAAATATCTCTAAATATTGATTTTATGCTTGACATATGATTAGAACATCCACTATCCAGAAACCAAATATCATTTGAGATATCATGAACTTATGAATGAGTTATAAACAACTTACTATTTTCTTCATTTTCCTCCACATAGCTTTTGTTTTTCTCTTTTCCAACAATCTGTCTTCATGTGACCAAACTTTTTACAATAGTGACATTAAATTTTACTCTTGTAATTTTTTTTATCATAATTTGATTACTTTTGTTCATCATGCCTATCAAATTATCCTCTTCCTCTTCCTCTTCTATTTCCTCTACCACAAAATTCTCCTCTGTCACGTCATCTTCCTATTGATTTTTTGTCTTCTTTTGAAGTAGAAGACTCCCCCTTAACCTGAAATGCTTTCTCTTCTTTTTTTTCAAGTGACCTGTTCAACCTTGCTTCATGTGCTTGCAAGGAACTCATTAGTTCATCAAATGAAAATATAGATAAATCTTTTGACTCCTCAATTGCGATAATAACATGATCAAATTTCAGAGTTAAACTTCTCAAAACTTTTATAATAATTATATGATTAGAAAAATGTTCACCATAAGATTTCATTTGACCAACAATTTCAGTCACTTGAGAAAGAAAATCTTGCACCGATTCATTGCTTTTCATGAATAAAATTTCAAACTCACGACGGAGGATTTGAAGTTTTACCATAATCACCCTTGATGAGTCTTGAAATACATTTTGAAGTATCAACCAAGCTTGCTTTGAGGTTGTCGCTACTGTAATTCTTGAAAAGATTATCTCATATACAGCTTGTTGAATGAAGAACAATGCCTTTGAGTCCTTTCTATTTTTCCCTTAGCTTGATTTCGTCACTAGATCTGCATATTCATTCTCTATTAAGTCCCAAGGATCTTGAGACTTGAATAGAGTTTTCATTTTGATACTCCAAAATTCATTGCATTTGTCCGAGAAAATGGGAATAAGGGGTTGAGACATAGAATTACCATTGAAAGCCATAATGCCCGGTTCAGATTGAAACTATGCTTTAATACCGAGGATGGATGAGCAAGGAAAAAATAGAATACTACGATACAAGTAAAAAAGAATCCTTTCGATTCAAGAAAACTGATGTAGTATTTAAAACAAGAGGATTGACATAGAACACTTACCTGATATTCCCAAGTATATTCTCCCTTCTATCTTGTTTCATAAACTACAATCTTATTTATAGGACCTAGTGGTAATTATCCACATCATCGATTAACGTAGTTATTGAAACTACCTTATAATTTTTAGATCATGCTTTAGATCATGCTAACTAGTACGGAGGATGAGCTACATCTCGACATCAAGAAGGCGTCGCAGGAACAGAAAAGACTAGAGGAAACTGCAGGTGACGATAAGGACGAGATACAAAAGATCAGAGTTGACATGGTGACGAGCGTGATGGCGGTGGCTGCCAACGTCGCCGATTTCGTCATGGCGGTGGCTTGCATCGAGCCGAATCCTTACTGCAACAATGCAGTAACGTTAGGGATTAGTGGATTGGTCTCAGCTTGGGCTGGTTGGTACAGCAGCTTGCCATCACAAAGAATTATAGAGACTTCATCTTTCACCACGATTCAAGAGTTCTTATCATGGCATCACGGATAATAACAATGAAATATTGATCATCAATGATCACGTACACAATATGGTGGCTGTCTGTGCTGGAGACACGGGGTTGAAGACAACGTCGCCAAGACTTTTAGGCACAAATCTACATCTTTATACTACTTAAGTATTTACATGAAAGATCCTAAAGCATTAAAAGTCTAAGATCCTCATAACGTCGAGAGAGAGAGAGAGAGAGAGAGAGAGAGAGAGAGAGAGATGACTATAGCAGAAGATGACAGCAAACATACTGCAGAAGGCGACGCCCCCAAGTATCTCTTCATCTCCTGCGGTCGACTCTTAAGCAGCAATACCTGTCGGCAACAGACTAGTGCTGCAAGAAACTAAGCTATGGAGAGTAGTAATAACAGATGGAAATGAGCAGTAAGATAAAGCTTAGGAGAATATATAGCAGCCAGAGTAGTTGCACTCAAGCAAGAGAATAACATACAAACTACATATTAAAATTATAATTATATATATATAGTTTTAAATTGGTAATTCCTCATATTTGTCTTTCTCTTTAATTCTATCAACATTTATGGCATTTATGTTTTTTCTTATTTCTCATATTTACATTTATAATTAATTCTATCTACAGCTACAGTGCTTATCTTTTTCACTTGGCCAAAATGTGGAGTAAATAAATGTACTCAGAAATGTAAAGGAAGCTTCTCTCTCTTTGCTTGACCAAGTAGACTATCTGTAGATGAATCTCTAATCAAATAAAAAAATAATTCACAATTATTGTTTGATAAACCGAAGTATACAAAGTATGAAAATTGAATTGTAGGAATAACTCTAATTTCTAATATCAAAACAAGGAAGTAAAGTATGCTTTCAGACAGTCTAATCCATGCACATCATAAAGATTGATATCAAGACATCATTAGGGTCACATTCTGAAACTAGGCACTCATGATTCCACCTCAAGACACTAAACAGTCCATATCAGAAGCACATAATGGAATTTAAGCAAGTGCAGTATGACGAAGATCAACTGAGAAGCAAGAAAAGAAGGCTAGGTTGTTTAGTCAACAACTTAGATATAAACATTCCTAAGTTGGCCGTACTAGAACTGAGCAAAAATATAAAATTTACTAGAAGTCAAAGTAGTAGATAATCAAATTATAACTCAAGAATTGATTGCATACTGACAGTGAAATGCCAATAAGATAACAAATTTAACATGATTCTTTTATTTGTGTAGTGCTCATAATTGACAGCACAGTTAACCAGATAAAATCAATTGCATATTGCAGAGGAATTCAATGCCAAAAAAAATAAAAGATAAATAAGTGAGCAAAACAGTCTCCTTTAACATGATTTGATGTCACAACTATGAGGTCACTTTCGAGAATGGCCTTATCTTGTCCAATAATTTCTCAGCCTCTATGAACCCCCAGAAAGGACCCAGAGTTGTATATTTCACTTGTCTCCACCTGTTAATGGCAAAAACTACTACTACTTAGCACATGGTGAGAAACATTTGGTAAAAGGAAGACTGAAGAAAGTATGTTCTGCACTTATAGATATACCTTGGTGTGAATGGTAATGCCAGACAGTGAAGATGGAGATGATCAATACTATTAAATGGGGGCTGATGGAAACCAAATCTGCAAGACAGAACTTCAAATACATGAAACACCATATACTTGAAATATGTCAGCACTATAAATCAATGTTCAGTTGTAGTAAATCAGCAACATTGTGTTCTCATTAATTAACATGTAGATCATAGAGTTAACATCCTTAAAGAAAATTGATCCACCACTTGGCTCCATACTTTGCACTCTAGGTTATGTTAGTAGGAGGGACATTTATCAACTCCTTGGATTCAATTGGACTTGTGATACACAACTGCTTTCATTTTTTCTTTTGTGGAAATTTATTTTACAGTTGCCACTTACTAACTCTAGAACTTGAATTTTGTCACCTACAAAAGATAACAGAAAGTTAGACAATCTAACCTAAAAGGACAAACCCAATGCACGAGGATTAATGGAAGCACCCATACCCTTACCTCTATCTTAGAGATGTTATTTCTGAGATTGGAACTCTAGTCTCTTAGGTCATTAAGGAACAATCTTACTGTTGTATCAAGGCCCGCCCTTGAAAGTTAGACAACCTACCTCTACAGCTTAATCCAGTGGCTAAATCAGCATCAGCAATATTCCAAAACAATGCTTTCTCTTGTTAAGTCATTTGAGAAAAAGGAAAAATAGTCTTGCTAAGATTCTCACCCATTGTCACCACAAGTCTTCATTCAGATTGTTCAGTCAGTTGATTCCTTTATTTGCATCCTTCCATACATGAATCAAAAACTGATTCATATTCATTGATTTACATATTTTATAATTAAAGTAGTCTGGGTGTTGTAAATGGATATTACCATAAATTCATCCTTCTTGATCATGGGAGGCTTAGCATTATATAAAGACAAATATTCTTATATATTAATCTCCTATAAAGATATCAACTCTGCCATAACTTTTTTCAAATTTAAGCAGGCAAGTACTGCTTGTGCAATGCATAAATGTACTAAAACTGACAATTGGTTATGTTATCAGCACTTTGTGTTCAGTTTTGGTTCTGTTCTCTTTCTTGCACTTTTTTTGCCACAAACCAAAGTGGCAAAAAGATTCTGAAAAAAAATCTAGCCAAATTGGACATCACAATAAATATTTTAGGAAAAGGAAGTACTGGAAAATAAAATTAAAATAAAGTACAATGTTTTCAGATGATACCTAGAACACATTGATTCAGGTGCATCTCTGGCCAAAAGGGTTTTCCCCACGTTCAACATGTGATTAACTGTATAAAATACAGCAGATTATATGAATTCTGACAACTTTTTGTACCTGAATGTCCCCCATTGAGTATGTTCTTTTGAGAAGTCTCCATTAAACATTCTCTGCAATATTTAACACTATAAACCAAGAATCTTACCTAAATGATAATCTTCTGTTTTTCTCTGGAGATGCTTGACGGTAGGTATGTGCTCAACAGGTATAACCAGATAATGCCTAGTAAACAACCAACCAGAGTAAACAGTGATGCATAGATCAAAGCAAGAGAACAATCATACACATCCATAAAGCTTTATAGGTTTCAATTGATAGCATATTAGGCACGCCCAAGAGCATTCTCATAAATGATGGGTCTAAACTTGAAATGGAATCCAGATATGCAACAACCATCAAAACATATCATAAACACATTTAATAAGTACTAGTCATAGTTGAGAAGTTGGTAAGAAATAAAAGAAAAAAATAGAAGCCATTAAGTATTACTAGAAAAGATTAAATAACAGAAAGTTAGCATGGCTAAATTGAAGTTCAATTATATGGAAAGAATTCTTCCAAACTAAGTCACAGTGCTGCTATGAAATTTTTGACAAAATTCATGACACTGTTGATATGGAGACAGAAGACAATATTTAGACTTTGTAGCAATGCATGACAAATTGAAACAGGCAATGATACTAGAGATATTATGCAGAAATATGTATAATATGTGAACTTACAAGAAAAATCACAACTTTTTTTTGTAAGTCCATAACCATGTTATTAGAACTCATAAATGTTGCATCTTCCCCCTTTATCCATTAGTTCTGGAGCCTTGCGCAGGTTCCACTCAAATGCATCCAGCTAAGGATAATACTTGTTTAAAAAAATGACACAGATGCCCTTTATGTAATAATTAATGCTATTTAAAGTCTAAAACCTAGCATAAAGTTGACACAGATAAAGTGTCACATTCCAATCAGTACACGAGGTCGCTAAAAGGCAGCCTTTGACAAGTGTTCAGATTTCAGAACCCATCTTCAAGGAGAAAGTATCCTCATATTTGACAAATGTTCTCCCTGTGTGCGAGTTCACCCCCTCTGTTATTTGTAAAGAGCAATTGGTTTGCAAGCTTGTTACATCTCCTACGCACATCTTACAATAATATATCTTCCAATATAACACCATCTATAGCATAAAATCCTTTCTTTTCAGAATATGGCTCTTTTATTCTCTCTCATCAGAGATTCTAATATATCAAATGTTTGCTACATTCATGGAGTAAGTTTGAAATCCTGATTCCTATTAGAAGTGGGCTTCACTACTTCAGATTATTTCATTTAGCTAAAACTTGAAAGTCACGGAAGTAAGTTTCATTTCAACTTTGGACAACCAAGAGAAATTTATCAACTTTCCACAACAATCACTTCAAGAAGTTTACTTGACACAACCAGACAGCACCTAGATGAAGAACTGTTTCCACTAAATGAAATAAAGAATACCCATACTAGGAAAATCATGCTTTCTACACAAGATTTATATTACACTGACAAATTGCAACATAAACAAAAGAAGATCAACCGAAATATAGTGCTTAATATCTTAGAATGCCTAATTCAATAGTTAAGAAGAAGGGTGAAAAATTCGTACATAAAGGTTTTGTGCTTGTTAAAGGCTGGATCTAATAATAACTAAGAGAGCATATATACTAAAAGAGTTAAACTCCCCTCCAAAAGTCACAATGTAAACAGATAAAATGTGGTCCATTAATGTTCATTGCACCACATACAAAAATATCATAGGTGCATGCCATGACATTAGTAACTTCATAGACAGAAGTTTTTCAGCTAGTAGATGGACCTACGACTATGTATGATGAAAACCTTATTTTGTACTTATGATCTTCCAAAGTAAACTATCTAAAACCAAGTTAGAAAATAATTTTTATATAGTTAATCACGTAGTGAAGTACAAGAACCTCTGTGATTACCCCTGTATCTGAATTCATATAATTATAACAATTTAATGAAAAAACTAGTATCAGATAGAAGATGGGGCTGCACAATATTCAAGCATGCATATTCTGACGCAGGATAGGTTTATAAGAAGAGAAATTCTGCAGTCCTTTACTTAAGCATTCTGTCAGAATGTACAACCTTTCTGGAGGAAGACATGCAAGATTAACAGAGGCCCAAGAAAAGCTAAAGTGAAGAGCTTCAGTGTTCAATCAAATGGTGTCATAGGAATCACTGATGTCATAATCAATGTCCGCGCTGAAAGTAATCAAGTTGCTTATGCTATAGCATTTGGCATGTTAACATCATATGCAGTGCCTCCCAGTTCTGTAATATGAACTTCTATAGCTGATTATTAAAGACGAGATAACCATGTTCAGTAGCAGATAATCATACCTACCAGGTTATATCAAATGCCGAACTTATTATATTTTACATAGCACCTCATGACCAAATTAACTCATTTCTATCTCTTTCTTCAACTAAAGGACTGAAGGAGATAAAATTTATCCGCTTAGTTTATGTGAATATATTCTTCACATATAAGGTTTACGTGTGCAAAAATCTCATCTCAGAGAAGGAAAAATCCACGGACAAAAATATCACTTGCAGACGCGAGATACAAACTGTGCATCAATCAAGAAGAGAAAATTCAAAATCATTAGATTCTGCCTGCCTGAATAATATAGATCGCTCTAAAACCAGTATTCGATTGTTCGAATTAATCATCAGAACCGTCAGTTTATCAAAGCTCAAATCTTTCTAAGGAATTGTCAACCAAAAACAGTTTTGTGCGGGGAAAGAAAGTCAAGGAGCAATCACCTGACGGCGGACGGATTGATGTCACGGAACGCGACAACCATCTCATCCTGTACCGATAAAAGGAGGAGAACATTATCCCATACTGAAACAACAAAGTAATACAACAACAGCAGCGACGAATTAGGATAGAATGGCATAAAGAGAGATCGGACGGCGTAGTGGAGATCGGTGGAGGTGGAGCCCCGTGCAATCTGACAGAATAAGCACGGCGGCCGCCCTGCAGCCGCGGCCATCTCGCTCCCTCGACGACCGCACCGTCGATGCCTTCTCCACAACTCTGGAGCGCCCTCTCGTGAGGCTGCTGCCCCCTTTGTCGAGTCTCCCGTGGTGTTCTTGTGACGACCATCAGGCAAAAAGAGGCCACGAGTCTTTCCATTAATATCTAATAAACATCGTCACGAATCAAATAATAAATGGTTTATACAAAACACTTTAGCGTGTAATAAGCATAATTAAAATACATTCAGCATGTTATCGGTTTAAATTGTCCAATTAAATCTTGTTACATTGTAAATGCATGAAAGTTTTATCGTCTCTACAGTCTTAACAAAATAATAATAATAATATCAGCATTATAAAAGGGATCTTCTCTTAAAAAAAGATTATTTTCGTGGATTATTAATTTTTTTATTTTTATTTAATATTTCTTATATATCTGAGAAAATCTAGAGAGAGAATTTTGTCGAGACATATTCTCATCGCTAGCAAATTTCTACCACAGTTGCATATCATTGATCATCTCCGACTGGCTACTACGAATCTGCTTCTCATCATGATTCGCTGGATTGTTTGTGAGTTGAATTGGGTGGCTATCTTGGAGGTTGAAGGGTGTGTGGCAAAGGAACTGCTTCTTCATAGTAGTTCAGTGATCAGAGGCAAAGGGTGAGAAGAACCATTGTTTCTATCTTATGCTTATCCTTTTCCTGATTCAATCAACTTTTAGTGGAGCAGTGTGACTATGTCTTTTAGAAACAATGGTAACATAAACAATGCTTCTCTCTGGTGCAAAGACTCTGTTGGGCACACAGCTCATGGCAAACATTAGAACAAAACCCCTCCCTCGTTCATAACAGTGAATGCCAAGACCAGAGGCAGCCATTTTGCAAATTGAAGTAACATTCAGGAGGCAAACGATTAAGAGTACATGGCAAGTGTACATCTCCCTGGACACTGCAGGAACCCTAGGTCAACTTATCAATTGTCTTCTATATGGTATTAGAATACATCCATTATATTGTCACACACAGTGATACAAGTGAACCGCAAAATCGATATCAATAGGATTAGCTAATCTAATCATCTCCATTGAAGCCAGTGGTATGTGCAGATTAATACAGTTTGTTGAACTCAGACAGTTGTGGGGACTCTCCCAGTCTTGGAAAGAAGGCCTCCCTCTCAAGTAGGTTCTGCAAGGAGCCTATCACTTTCATCAAAGACGCCCATGCGATCGGAGCACAGCTGAAGGCATAAGCAAACACCACCAAAGCCCTAATAACACCATCAGAATACCAAGGGAATGCCATCACAAACAGTGAACCCAAGATTCCCAGTAACACTGTGAGGACCGGTAGAGGTGGCAGAAGGAAGACATTGATAACGATTGAAGAAAGAGAAGCAACTCCGAGCACATAAATGGGCCAACCTAAGAGTGGATGCACTGTACGTGGGATGAGGAAAAAAGGTACCGTGTATGCAGCGAATATGGACCACAATGCTGCTACCTTGAGCGTGCTATGCAATATTGCGATGATCTTCTCTGGACGCCGATTATAACACAGCTTTGACAAGCTTGGTCGTGCCAACCGGGTAACTGCTATGATTCCAATATACATCACTGCTTGGATCAGCAATATTGGTAGCTCTGAACCATACCTGCCCGACATATCATTCCCCAACAGAAGTTCAGGAACCAAAACAAGATGTCAGATATCATATTTGAAATATGCACGATAATTTCAGGTCACGGTAATATTGGCCTTTCCACATGGCATATAGAAAATTGTAATTAAATCAATGACATAACAAAAGAAAGATTTTGCTTTATCATGATACTTCAAGACTATGTTTATAGATTGTAGGTCTGCTGCAAGTTCTTTTTTACTTACCCGAGATTCTTTCGACGTCGTTCATGCCATGAAAGGCCCAATGGTAAAACAGGCCAAGACCACCAGTACCAAGGTTTTAACCATGGGGCACTTGGGAATGTGATCACACTATTTGGTCCACATGGTATGCTCCACCGGAGCTTTAGATCTGCAATAGAAACAAATGATACAGATGTTGAAAATGGCCATTATTACTTACTTGAGGCACAAAATCATCAAGACCCATACAATATACCAAAACCTCGGTGATAGAGAAATCTTAAACCTAAAGGCATTGATTTACCATAGAAAAACGGAAGCGGGAAAAGCACACGAAACAGAACTAGTGTAGAACAAGCACTTCTTGCACTCACAGTAATATGAAGCATCCATCTGGTATCCCAAAGGAAGGCGATAGGTACCATAAAGCTTGGTACCATTGGTAGGTGGATGGAACATTGGACGATCAAGCAAGTCAGGAAAATAGCTTGCCAGGAAGCCTTGATCTGCACCATCTGGGTTCTCATGTCCAGTTTCTAGCTCATGAAGCATGTTCTTGAAAACATCCATTGAAGGCTATACAGGGCAAACAACACAATCGAATTATGCTTTAAAGGAAAAGTTGTAGTTCTCCTCTCATGACATGGCAGATGAATAAAAATTACAATTCAAACTTAGAATATACGATTTTGCAATTGATTTCTAATGGACAAACTCATTGATGGATGGAACGGAAATGTATAAATTTAGATCCTCCAGAGACAAAACTGGCTACCATGATATAAATCATATTGTCCCAATTTTGTTGTGATATTCTTTGCAAAGGCTTGTGGAAATTTAAATTAAAATGCCAATATCTAAAAATGGAAGTTTTTCACTGACTTCTTTTCAAATATAGATGCAGACAACAAAGCAGTCATTGCGAAATATCTGATGCAATCTCACTATATTTTACTTCTTAAATATATAAGATCTGATATGCCATTAGAACTGGCTGCTAATCTTCTCCTTGTTATGCAATTAGCAAATATGTGCATCAAATCTTGATATACCCTTAGTCATGATCATGACTCATCAACCAGTCACATATATGAACATGATACATAATCACTAAAGCCCTTATGAATGTTGGACTTTAAGGAGACTTGTAAGAGTAAAATTCTTAAAGTTGCTTGTCCAACATTGACACAACTGCTTGGATACTGCATTCTTAGATCATCATATACAGTACCAAACACATTGACAGCTGCAGTTTCTTTCGGTTTATGAATTTTCAGCAAGAGTTGGATATCTCAAGTTACATTATTATTTTATAGCTTTCAGCTGGGGTATTGAACTTAAGTAAACTCCAGTACATGGTTTGAGCTGCTTCATGTTTATTTACTATGAGATACAGAAGTGTCATACATTGGATAGAATTCCCTGAATTCATAATATTCCAGGTCAAATTTTGTCGAAGATTACACAAGAAAACTTTACCAAATTCTGTTATTGACTTACGAGGGTAGTTGAAAAACTAAAGACGATAAAGCCAATAATTTTTAAATCTGTATTATTTGTTCTTCTAAATGCAATTTGCAAATCGGTGCATGATAAATCTTAAAAACAATTAAATGCCCTATTAATTTATCAATATTTTTTGAAAAGGACTGTACAAACCTGAATATTATCAACACATAATCTTTTCTCGACCAAGTCTTATGAGATATAACATGTACATTTATTGTAGCGTTGAAATGCCTTATGACACGCTAAGTCAATATGAATTTTAGTGTTATAATATGGCAAAATTATGTCCCACCTCTAAGTCTAAATTTTTGGGGCTCAAAATAAGTTCCCAACCACATGTCAATGCAGACTGTAAACAAGTTATAATCCAAAAAAGTAAGATTTAATTCTGCTGACTTGGAACTGGTATGTACTGAACTCAATGGTATAACTTGTCATCAGGCTCATGATATGGCATGTTCAATTTGCTTGAGATAATCAGAGACAATGACAATCTGCCATTTGAAGTCAACCATTTCCATTGTAACTCTAACCTCATTGACTGATTGGGCACTCTTCCAAAGCCTGTGGGGTATAACGGTTGAAAGCAAATGGATGGAAATGATGATGCTCATGTATGCACGTGGAAGTAACTCTGTTCTTTTGGGATCATCCTAAACATCAGTTATGACTTGAGAAACTAGTGATAAAACATGAGGCACTCTGTCATTCAAGTAAATTGCTAACATACAAGGATTTCAGAGTTCATCCTAATTTCCAACAGCAGTATGAATTCTACAATTGATTCTAGGATACCATCAATATCCCACATGTTCAGGAGAGACCGTATTCAAGAATAAAAAAGAGTTGACACTAATGAGATTGAGTTTCATAGCAGTTGTACCTGAAGAACGAAAAGTCCAGTATGAAAGATGCATGGGTTGATGAAAACAGCACAAAATTGGCCGCATTGGAAAAGCTCATCGGTACGTTGGAGGAAAATGTTATCGGAGTCGAGCATAACAACTCGATCATACGAAATTAGACTCCATGCATAAAGTTTGTTCAATGTCAACTTGAATCTGGTGTTGAAGTTTTGTTGATTTTCATACGGGTTCTTCAAGTTCTCAACTCTAATCACCTTCACCCCATCCTCCTCTTGCCTGATCATGCCAATCATCAAATGTGAGGTGCGATTTGCTAGAGAGTACTTGGCCAAACTGAGTCTTTAACTATTAGTTTTGCAGCTCTAACTTCCAAAGTGTGGAATAACAGAATGCTCCAAAGCATGCTACTAACTAAACAGATTACGCTCAGAACATGATATATTGTTCATTTGAGAAAACAAAAAGAAAAACAGCATGCTGACAGGGTTAAAGGCATAAAACACATCCGAAAATTTTCATCTCTGGTCAAATAGAAATTACAAGCAGCTTTAAATTCTTAAAATTCATCCATAAAATATATCTTTGATGCAATACGACCTGAAAAATATCACTTATATATGCAATTTGAATTCCAGTAGTTCTTTTTGTCTAACAAAAGAAACTCAGGATTTTCCCAATTGAACATTCAGCATAGTAGAAAGTCAAAGAATGTAAACTCTGAGTGTATCAATAATCATGAATTAATTTCAAATTCAGAAATGGAAACTCCAGATTAAATTGGAACCTCATACATCACTGGTCATGTATTGAATCAATCAAATAAGGCCAACACCAATTTCTAAAGTTCAATAAAGAAATCCCAAATGAGAGCAATTTGGCCCTTTTTTTTCAGTAGATTCAATCGATGAATCCAGATCTGGTATTTCTGCTATTCTTGAGAAGATTAGGGGGTCAATACCCGGAACAATTCCTTTTCCTAACGAGTCCTTTTTTTCTCAAAGGACTGAAAAGTCAAAGCTTTTGGACACCAATCCTCTCAAGGACATGTCACCACCAAGTGAGAAAAATAGAAAGCAATGCAACGAGCAGAACGACCAAAAAACCAACCCTGACTCTTCAACAATAAAGATAAAAGAGGACCCCTTAGCAAGAACAATTTTGAAGGAGAAAACACAAATCGATGGCTTCTACTACTACTACTACTACTACTACTACTACTATTCTTCTTCCCTTATGCCTGTTGATTCTATCCTACTCGAGGCAGGAAATTATTGTCTACCAAAGAACATAGACCTAATTTTTTATCATGTAATATCTATCAACGGAAAAGACAAATTAGTGGGTATGATTTGAAGGCCATCAAACCACACAATCTTTTGATGTTATTTCTGAAGAGCCTACTCTTTCTTTTTGGTAAAAATTCTCACTGTAGGAAAGACCGGGGGATAAACTTTTAACAATAACACCGTCAAATGATGAAAATATGTCACGAAAGAGAGAACATAAGAAGCGGCGGAGATCGAGTCGGGGAGTGGACGCCGGAGTAACGGAGATCTCACAAGGTTTGGGCCCATCGGACGGGGACGTCGACGGAGGCGATGACAACGAGATCGGCCTCGACGTGGAGCCTCGCGAGGGACCTCATCATCACCCTCGTCGCCACGTAGAACTCGTAGTCCCTGGGTGTCCCCATGTACATCATCGCCGCGTACGCGTGCCGCCGCCGCCTCTCTGTCGTCGTCGCCTCCGCCGCAGCCGCTGCTAGCGCCAAAAGCAGCGCCGCAAGTAACCCCAGTCGCAACTTGATTTCCATGTCGCCCGGTTCCACCTTCCAGCCCTCCTAAAAACCCGTGAAAACCAAGCTGAAACGACGGAAGATCAGATCTTTAGTCTACCACAGATCGGATCTCCACCTCCAGCGCCCTTCGCCGTGGCCCATTCTCCAAATCTCAGCAGTTTCCCCCAGGCGCAGCTCCACCGCCGCCCCGGCCCGTCGGACACACCCGGACGGCGTCCAAAGCGGGAGGCACGGTCGAGGGCTCGCCGGAGATCACCGACGAGAGCCAGCAATGGCACCAAAGAGCGAGGAGAAGGTCAAAGAAAGATCTTTTGGAGTGGGGGGTTTCTGATGAGACGGGGAAAGTGGCATCGGCCTAAAAGAGAGCATGGAACTAAAACACGAGCATGTAATCTAATAACATCAATTGCACCCAAACATTTACCCGACCCAAGTGTGGCAAAATGGCTGATCCCACGTGATTCCTTCCAATGGTCTCACGCACCCGTCATTCCAGTAAGTAGGAAAAGATGCACAAGATATTGTTTACATTGATTTAATGAGCGCCACTAAATAAAGTAGTTGGCCATACTATAGAGACTAACTAAGTCAAAACCCAGTCAAACAACTTTTATTGCCACGTAATTGTTATTTTGACTCGGGTTGACCTTATAGCTATGAAAAGCTACTGTCATGACAACAGGGATTTTTCTATTTCATCTAAATTCAAATTTGAATCGGATTAAATGTTTATTTTTTGTTTCTTATGTTTCAATCTAAATTATTTCTAAACCCTAACCTTGACAATGACACTCAACCAATACTTTCATCAATATTGTGTATGATGATATCTATGAATCGTTTGCCTAATGTGATGTGGTTAATATGTGTTCCTCGAATCATGTGATCAATGTCTTCTTCTCCTCTCACAAGACATAACTCGTAAAAATCTGAAGAAAAGAAAACATTAATAGGGTAAGGCATGTATGTGCACATCCAAGTGCCGTCCACAAAGCCTAGTCTACTACTATATAACTTGGCATATGCCACAACCAAACTATCATGTCGGCAGCCAATTAAACCACATAAATGAGTAGTGGTGCTCGGAAGATGAATGCTTGCTGAAGCCATCTTTTAAGTTGTTCTGCAAAATCTTGGTTGGATATTTGTCATCCACCGGTCTCTCCGAGTGAATCTTTCTAATTTGATGGACTGGTGGGTGGGTGCACACATGATCTTCTCGTTTTCCTCCCACTTCTCCCACCGTCCCTTCTTATAATAAGGCCAAGTCGCACTACTTTTGTTTGAGGTCACCCAAATGGATAAGCCTTTTGTTTGCAAGTGCACCTTGCAAAGCTGAAGGGCCATGCGTACAGATTCTTAGCCTTCGTCTACATCCCATTTCCAAGTTCAAAATATTTTGATGCTCTACACCTCGTAACTTGTCATTTATAATGTCTTGTATTCTCCTGAATGCTCTAAGATTTCCCTTTCTATTTTGTTTCTGTTGCTTTGACTTCCGATGAAGCGGGTTTTATTTGATCCAATCATATTACTGTGCATACAACAAATCATAGTACTTCAGGAACCTAAAAATTCGATGATCGTCCGATCCATCTTGGTAGTATCACTGCAGATAATACCTTTTTAAGAATGCAAACCCAAATGTCTTTATATGTGTCTTACACGCAAGACTTTTGTCAATTGTAATATCTTCCCGAACTCACTTCATTATGTCACATGATTTTCTTGTGTGCAATAATCTCTCTTGAGATGTTACTATGCATGCTTACTACTTAATTTCTTGACCATTTAATTAGTCGTATGATGCACAAAACATAATTTAGATTAAACAACATAGACAGTCAAATGCATCTTATACGTTATCAATGTTCTAAAAATCAAATTCATGTCAATGATTGCATCTCTGAGAGCTGAATGCAGCAAAACTTCATGATTATGGAGTTGACTAGATTTAAACATTTGGGAGTTCTTCTCATAGTTTATATGTCGGGCAATGTCAAAGTGTTGATGATGAGTCACACAACAAAGCTCGTTGACTAACAGCAGTTTGCTGAACATATCATTTGGTACTTCAGAAGATGTATAATAACTTACATTTTGCACTTGATATAAAATATTTTGTAAGATCTTCAAAAACCTTAACAAGTTCTGCACAAGTGTTGTAGATGTCATGGCCATCTTGGCATCATAATATGCATCTCTTTTCTTGATCTTATCACCCTTCTGTACCTAATACGGATCTCAAGTTTCTTTTCTTTGACTCTTTTAGGTGGACTTGCTTCGTTTAGAGAAGGATTAGTGGAGGAAACGAAGCAGGAAGTGCGTCCAACCACCTGCACGTCATGAATCCATTGGTTATAATACAGTAAAAGGAAAGAGATGACTGTGAGAGAGAATAGGTAGAGAAGGCAACGAGAAAGGCGCTCATCCCACATGCGCTGCCCAACTGTTTGTGTTTCTGTTCTTCGTTGTGTGCATTACAACATCGTAAGCATCCAACACAAGTGTGCTAATAATACATAAGTTTGTGAGCTTGAGATTAAAAGAAGGAATACCCATTCTTCATAATAGAAAGGCTGCTGCATCTGGAACGGTTTCTGCGAGATCTGCTTCCAACGAGCAAAGTGAATGCTTGCTGAAGTTACAAGATTTCTTAGACCAGATTCACTGTTGTCTGTTAAGATGTACCTTCCAAAACAAAAGGTAGAAGGAACACCGCTACCAACACAAGGAGATACAGGAACCAGAAGGGCCCCGATGGATTGAGGGGAATGTGATTGATGTGCATTAGGACTTTGGTTTTACTTAAAGATCAGTTCAGTTGAGAGTTAGAAAAGGTGTGTTAATAGGGACTCTTTAACTGCAACATGAAGCTCAGTATGACCATATAAACTGGGATTTCTTTTCCTAGTGAAAGCTGAGGAACCCTTCTATTTGGATTGGGGATGGTGTGTTGGTCACATTTTGATCAGTAGGTGTGCACTTTCTGGTGTACTACCCAACAAGGTGGCCCTGACATCATGACACACAGGGGAGCAAGAAATAGCACTGTGCCATAAGCAATGCTTTGTTTTCAGGGTCAAGAAGCAAAAGAACACAGACTTACAGCAACCAGTAGAAAGTGGCCTTCTGCTCCTGCTTCTCCAGTTGGATCAAAAGCATTCATCTTTATTAGAAAAAGGAGTTACATGATCTTTGAACAAAAGGAAATTTGACAAAGAACTGTTGGTCCCGAGGGAAAAGAATTGGTCTTGTAATTACAGTCTTCTAATACAACATACAGTGTCAGGTTCTTCCTTCTCTTTTCTGTTTCTGTGAAGTCGGAACAATAACGAAAGACTATCATCATGCCTCACTGCCCTCGGTGGCCGACGAACCAATTCCCACCTGCAACCAAGGAGAGCTCTCTCCTCCCATGTTGACGTCCTTGAGCTCACTCAACTTTGCTAGCTTCACCTTCCTGTCCGCTTCGTCATCGACATTGAAGCTAGACATCTCAGTGTTGTTGTCCTTGCTGTGAACGTTTGTGTTCTCATTGTTCTTGTCGCTGCTGCTGGTGGCTCTGTGTTTACTCGTCGTGTTGCCACGATCGATCCATGAGCGTAAGTAGATCGCTGCAGGCATTTCGAGCCGCAGTGAACTCCCAATATCCCTCCTGGTCCTGGCAATGTCGTCGACGGGCGCAGGCATATTGAGATCGAGCGGCTCCGAGCTGGAAGCCTCGTACATTGATCTAAGCGTTAGCTGGCGATGGAGGTTAGTGTGGTCGGGCATGGGGTGGAGCTTCAGGCCGGGGTCCGGCGAGTTCGACGTGATCCAGTGGCACCGCTTGTGCCCGCCCAATGCCTGCCCGGACGTGAACACGCGGTGGCATATCGAGCACTCGTGCACCTTGGACTTCTTCTTGAGAGGGGCGACGGCCAAGGGACCAGTCGTGTTCTCAAACGGCACGATCGCCATGGACATCGACGCGACCATTTCGCTGCTGCACTTATCGTGAGTCATGACCTCTTCGTCGGGCGAGGCCTCGTCGAGGGCGTCGAGCTTGGCGGCGAAACACCCTTTCACCTTCTTGTGGCTGGCCCTGTGGCCACCCAGTGCTTGGTGCGAGCTGAACACCTTCTTGCAGGCCTTGCACTCGAACGTTCCCCTGGGAACGCTCGGCAGAGGTGGTCCAGCAAACGCAGGAGCCTTAGCCGTGTCCGTCGCCGCCCCAATCGTGAACGCTTGCTGCCGCCGGTGATCATCCTCCTTGCTCGCGGACGCGCACGACTCCTCGGTCTCGGTGACGGTCACCGGTTCGACCCGGGCAGCGGACAGCATCACCAAGCAGTTCGCGAGGTCTTCCTCTTCGCTCAAGACCACTTTCCGCCGAGACCGCTTACCCTTGGACCAACCGGCGCATCCCTTCTGGCCGACGAGATCGTCCTCCCCCTCGGACCTCGGCGACGGGAGCAGCGACTCGTCGCCCTCCTCATCGGAGCTGCACTTGCCGTGCTCTAGGAAGGACTTCCACGACAGGAACTCCTTGCCGCAGTTCTCGCAGATGCGGCAGCTCTTGAGGCGGTTGGGATTGGTGCGGAGCGCGTACATCCGCTTGGTGCCGGCGTCCGTCGAGCCGTTCAGCTTGTCTTCCCAATCCGAGCCACCGCAGCCGGAGGCGTCGCCGTCGGCGTAGGCCTGGCCGCCCATCGCGTTGTCGATGATCCCATGGGCGCGCATGTGGCCACCGAGGGCACGACCGCAGCCGAAGCCCTTCTTGCAGATCCGGCAGTAGTGCTTGTAGGTCTGTGGCTGCTGCTGCTGCTGTTCTGGTTGTTGCTGGTCCATCACCATAGCCATTAGGAAAGAGAGAGAGAGAGAGAGAGAGAGAGAGAGACAGAAGACTGGATATCGAAGGAGGTTTGTAGTGGTTGTGATTGATGCAGGGGTGGGTTAGTAAAAGTTTGGATGGTGCAAGACTAAGCTCAAACGGGGTTCCCTCTCTCTCTGTTTCTCTATTTATCTATCTATCTCTTTCTCTTTCTTCTCTCTCTAATACGCATGTGTTGATCTCAGTGGTGTAATTGAATTGATCCCTGGTTTATAGTTGAGGTGTTGGTTGGAGGTGGAGGAGGGAGGAGAGTGGAGAGTGGAGCTGGGTTGTAGTCGCTGGTGACAAGTGGGCGTCAGGAATGGGGTTTTGGGTCCGGCCCGGGTGGTGCGGGGCGCGCTGCGTTGGCGCCTCTGGGTCAAAGCACCAAAGTGTGGGTGAAGAGGAGGGAGAGGTGTTGTAGGGTTGTCCTTCCATGGTAGACTACAGGATTCACCGCCACCACCATCCATTAACTCTTAATATGTGGAGCCGTTTTATCCCATATTTTCCTTCCTTCTTAAATTAAAAAAATACAAAAAAATCGATCTCAAGTTATTTTACTCGTTTCTTATTTGATCGCGGTGTCATTATATAAAATTATAATTGAGATTCAATAGAGAGAGATTTAATGAGGGTTGTCTATAATGAGTCCTTATCATTTAATGAGTATTTAATGAAGATAATAGAACGACGTCCCTTATCATGCCACATTAAGTAGTGTCTTACAATTTGTTTGTCAGGTGGATAGATCTAAAGGTACAAAATATGAGGGAAGAACCTGATATCAAAAGAATAATTCAAAATATATATAATAAACAAATATAAAATTAAAAATAATGTACATATGATTTTGGTTCAACCCTTCCTACCTATATTGGAAAAGAAAACAATTCTTACTTATGTCCGTAGAGATAAAATTTAAAATTTTACTATATAAAAATAAAATATAAGTTTCATTCCATGTCAAGTCATACATAAATTCCTGATAATTTTTACATAAATTTCAAAGAATTTTTTTTATATTTAATTCAACTCGTAAAAAAAATCAAATTATATTTTCACATTATTCTATTATCTAAAGTTGAAAGTAGTATATATATATATATATATATATATATATATATATATATATATATATATATATATATATATATATATATATATATATATATATATATATATATATTATATATA